AAATAGTTTTTTTAGACCTGAAAACATGCAACAGTGTGATTTGTTTAAAGAGTGACAAGATGTTCCCTGGGGCTAGAGAGTTGCAAGGAAAGCATGGCTAGAAAAATGGGTAGGGATGAGATAGATCCTGAGGAGGTATGTTATTATGAGGAACTGGAATTTTATCTTGTGGACCATCATTTCCCAGTTAAGACCAGAAATATCCTTGAGATTACAATGTCAAAAAAAAAAAAAAAAAAAAAAAAAGCCAACAAGTACGTTTATTTTTTTTTTTTTGATTCTTTAGTTTTCTTAACATCTATGTAGTATAAAAAATCTTGAATAACTTTATTTAAAATCTCAAATACTAGAGATGAAGTAAATCATCTTTTATTTTCATGTTACATTTGGTAGTCAAGGGACATGCAAAACCTTCCAATTTTAATGAGAACAGTGTTTTTGTGTCTTTTTATCACATATCCGTTTAATATTAGGTGTAATGTTACTAAGTCGGATCCGCATGTGAGGTGCAGCATCAAGTCTTTTCCTATATTTTGTTTTTGTTGCAGCATAATATGAAAATCCTGTTTCACACAGGTGCATTGTTGCAAAAGGAAGAAGTACACGAACTGCACGCCTTGCAATGCTTGGATATTCTTGAATTAGGCTACTCCAAAAATCATTTAGTGAAAGTTCACTGAAATTTTGTTTCACCTGAGAATCAGATGTTAAATCAATTAGGCTCTCATAATCTCGTGCTACTAATGAAGCTGGTTTAACAGTTACTGTAAATGGATTTCTAACCCAAGCATTATTGTCATTTGTCACAGGAAAATATTTTATAAGAGCAGAGCGCAAACCCCTTAGGTGCTGTACAATGGCACTGCAAATATCTTTATCAACTGTAGAATTAACTTCAGTCAAAAAGTCACTGAGCGTAGGAAAACAATCAAAGTTTTCTTCTTCTACAGATGAGGCCCAAAATTCTAATTTTCTTAACAATGATGACATTTTATCAAACACTGTAAAAACTGTCACATTTTTCCCTTGCATTGACAGATTAACCTCATTTAATTTAGTAAAAATATCTGCAAGATATGCAAGTCTTAGCAGCCAGGATGAATTTGTTATACAATCAGATAGTCGAAAAGCAGAATCCATGAAAACCAGTAGTTCACGCCGAAGCTCAAAAAGTCTTACAAGAACTTTACCTCGTGAAAGCCACCTTACCTCTGTATTTAGAAGAAGTGCTGTGTGCTGAGCACCCATTTCTTCACATAAAATTTTTAGTAGTCTGGATTGATGTGGTCGAGCTTTAATATAATTGATGATTTGTACTGCTTGATCTAGCACATTTTTTAGAGATGTAGGCATTACTTTAACTGCTAGTGCATGTCGATATAATAGGCAGTGACTACTAGTGCTTTCAGGAGCCACATATTTTATCAAAGCGACAGCCTCAGCAATTTTCCCGTCTACTGCCCTAGAAGCATCACTACAAACATCGACACATTTTTCCCATTCAATTTCATGTTTTTGCATAAAACTGTTGATGCAGTTGAATATTTCTTCACCAGTAGCATTACTTTGCAAAGATTCACATAAAAGGAGGTCTTCCTCAATAGACTTATTAAACCTATAACGAATAAACACAAGCAGCACAGCAAGTCCTGAAACATCAGCTGATTCATCTAGTTGTAGTGAAAACCCATCACATATTTTCAGTCTACAAACAAGCTCTTCTTCAATATCAGCAGCCAGATCCTTAATTCTTCGAGCAACAGTACTGTTTGATAGTTGTACTGCATCTATTTTTTTACTATATTGTTCGTCAAACATTCGCATCACTACATCTTTTGCACAAGGTTTGATAAGCAATTCTCCAATAGTATGAGCCTCTCCACTCAGGGCTATATGGTAACTTACATTGTATGATGCCTCTGTAGCACTTTCATTATCTGTATTGACAATTTTAGGTGCTGGGGGTTTATTATTTTCAGGTGAATCAAGATGCTGCTTGAAAAAGCTTATATCTTTGTCTTTATATGCGGCATGTTTAGTTTCCAAATGTCTTCGAAGCTTACTAGGAGCTAAAGAGCTATTTGATAAAATTTTTTTACATAATACACACTGAGCATGAGGCGCATCTCTATTTCCAAAGTAAGTAAATCCAAAAGACAAATAACTTTCATCATATTTTCTTCTTTTTGGTTTTTTACTAAATGTTATTTTGTTGGAATTAGACATAAATTTGACCCTGGAAAGCTCACCTTCTGATTTTTTAGAAACCGAAGGCTGCAACTGTTCATCTTCACTTTGTAATATTCCAACCTTTTGATCATTTGATTCAGATACAATTTGGTAACAAAAAGATTCTACTTCTTGTTTAAGATTTCCTTGTTTCAGCAAAAGATCCATGGGCAATGAATTTGTGGTACAAAACATGGTTAATTTAGAATAAACATTGAGTATCACAAATGTGTTGAAATTATAAGACAGGTTACAAAGAGGAGGAGAGATGATACACAGTAACACATCAGTTAATTTGTAAATGCTGCCTATGCATCAATGCGCAGATGGAACATCACACGTTCGTTTATCAGGTGATCTCTCATGCGACTTCCTGGTGCTCTCAGGTATGGCACACCTTTCTTAAAAGGTAGATTATCACATAAAAATAAAAGCTATAGAAATGAGTTTAGTAGTATTAAACTTATATTTAAATAAATTTACATTAAAATAAACTATTAAAATTATTGCTAGTAGCAATCTTTTTATCAAAACACTTGGAATATTAACATGCTATAAAAAGCCTGAGGATCGTTGAACAAAGATATAATAGTTAATAAGATTATTTCTAAGGTTGGTGAACATTTTGGAAAGGGCTGCATAGTAAATATTTTTGGTTTTGTGGGCCATAGTCTTTGTTGTACTACTCAACTCCATAGCTGTAGCATGACTGCAGCCATAACCCATACACAAAAGAATGGGCATGGGTGTATTCCAATAAAACTTTATGTTCAAGAACAGAGAGCACAGGCCATAATTTACCAATCCCATCTCATGGTTTATCTTAGAATCTCTTTAGTTTTACTAATGGCCTTAGATGTACTAAGTGTTGATATAATCATACATCCAAAGTCTCTCTTTAGGGCTGGCAAGAATTCTCATGAGCTATATTAAAAACATTCACTGTTCAGGGCTGGGGCGTGGCTCAGTGGTTGAGTACTTGCCTGGCACGTGTGAGGCACTGACTGGGTTTGATCCTTGGCACAACATAAAAATAAATAAAGGCATTGTGTCTATCTACAACTTAAAACAAAACAAAACAAAAAACACTGTTGAAAGCATTGCAAGACAGAGTTCTACTGTATCCTGTATATTTGTGTTCACAATGAACTATAGACCAAAAATTAGGTATTATTTCTCTGGACTTAAAAAATTACATATATGTTTACATTATCCAACTTAAGACTCAAAGTAATGTGTGTGTGTGTGTATATGTGTGTGTATGTATGTATGTGTATATATATATATATATATATATATATATATATATATATATTTTATGGATACAATATCTTTATTTATTTTTATGTGGTGCTGAGGATTGAACCCAGTGCCTCCTATGTGCAAGACAAACCCTCTACCACTGAGTTACAACTCCAGCCCCCAAAGTAATGTATATTTTTATTGATTATTCTGGATTCCATTATACTATAGGTGAAAACCCAACTAGAAACTAAAGGAAACGTAAACTATCATTTTAAAAGGTTTCTTCTCATATAATAAAAAGCATAATTAAAAGAGTAATACAAACTTAAGAACCTCTAATAAATACTATTTTTTAAAGTTAACTTTGTAACTTAAAACATACAAATTGTGTCTATAAAAATGCACCTACTTTTGATTCAAACTTTTATAATCTTGGTCACAGAATAAGCCTTATAATCTCATGTTAGATCCTGAATCAAAATGCTAGTGGGTAAGATACCTGAAATGAGGAGTACTTCCTTCTGCAATCACGCTCTCCACCTTGGCAGCTTGAAATGTAGACTCTTCAAAAGAATAAAATTAAGGGATGGGGTGGAAAGGGGAGTAACCAAAAGCCTAAAATGAGAAAAATTAAAATTAGACATTGCAACAAGCAGAATTAACTACAAACTTCTAAGATGAGCATTCATCATAATAAATTTTAGATCTAGGCAATATTAACAGTTCTTCATTGCAATGTTGCTCTTGGACTGAAACAGAAGATGCCTAGCATCTAGCAAAGTAAAACTGTGAATATTTTCATCTTCTTTAATACTTTGGCAATTTCACCGCTTTGAAATGCTTCCCTACCCACTGACTTCAAAAAAATTCATCAAAAACAAAACCACCAGCTGGAGATATAACTCAATTAAAAGAGTGCTATCCTAGCATGCATAAGGCCCTGGGTTCAATCTCCAGCACCACAAAAAACAAAAACAAACAAAAAACAGCCCCCCCCCAAAAAAAAAAAAAAAAAAAAAAACAAACAAACAAAAAACTAGGAAAACTGAACTCAAGCAAAGCCTCTTCTTAATGTCTCTAAAATGAAGCACCAAATCTAACATGGAATTATACACGGAAGTGTTATATGAAATATACCTTTGGCTACAATTAGTTTTGTCCCCTCAACAAGCAATTTCTCAAGGCAATTAAGGTTTATTGAGCAATCATTATTTACTATGTGCAAGTAGCTGTGCTCAAATTCTAATACAGATCAGTTTGTCTAATCCTCAAACGAGAGCCAGGGGCTATTAACTCCACTTTATCAATAAGGAGGAGTTAAGTATCTACTAAGTTAACACATCTTCTAAGAACCAAGAACAAAGTCCCAAAAGTTTGACTACATAGCCCACATGCCTAGCGTGTTCTCGAGTACTCTTTTAATTCCCCAAGCACCTAAAAAAAAAAAAAAGGACCAGGAGTTGGGCTATAACTGCCAGGAAGTCAACAGCTGGAAACTGGCAGCAGCACAAAAATCCTATTTCTTATTGAAAATAAAAGCGCAGATTCTTCTTTCAGTTTCAATTTGGATTTAGCCAGAGACCTCCGTGGAGCGGCGGGGTTATCTGGAGTTAGGATGCCTCTCCCTCGCCGTCAGAAGACACCCAAGAGCACGAAGCCTCGTTTTCATAGGAGGGCCTCATCCCTAGCTCTACAGAGGGGCTTCCCCAAAGCACCTGAGGACAAAGAATCTCTACTCCCTTGAGGAAAGTTTTCATTGAAAAGGTGGGAAAACGTCTCTCTTCCTCTGACTAAACTGACAGGTAAGTCACCCTGTCGCATCCACCCGCAGGCGGTTCCAGCTGTGAACACCCCCCCTCGGGCAGGAGAGCAGGCCAATCACAAAGGCTAGGCTGGAGTGCGTGAGAGCAGCTCTGCCGGCACCTACGTGCTTTTCTACACGGTTATCTCGACGTGTGGCCGGGCCAGCCACCCTCGGCGCCTCCCTATCACAGGTGCGCGCCGCCCGCAGACCACCCCGTCTGGGGGCGTGCTTCCTGTCCCTGCCCACCCTCGCCTCAGGACTTCTCTCGCGTCCCAGACGGTCGCCTCCGCTAATGACCACATGAATTCGTTTCAGCATCCAACGCCTTATCTCTACTGCCTCTCCACCTGCGTTGGAGACAACGGCCTTGGCCGCGGCTGGGCTGCACAGCAGCGCCGCGGTCCCCAGCTGTGCCTGCGACCGCCATTTTAGACAGCTCAAGGCAGCGGCCATTTCAGAGCGCGCCGTTCAGCCGCGGTTGGCGCCTCTGCTTCTCACCTTCACCGAGGCCTGAAGGGGGTCAAGAGCCAGTCGTCGCGGACTGGAGGGAGGAGGGAGGGGGAGGGGGGCAAAAAACAAAACAGAGGAAAGAAGGATGCGGGGACGGGGTGATGCTCTCAGATCAGGGATACCGCCTATGCCACCTCCATAGAGATCCGATTCGCTGCTGGCGCGGTCCTGGTCTGAAGATAAATTTAGCACTCTAGAGCAGCCGACCCTACGGTCTCCAGGAGCGACTGCGCCGCTGCCCAATCAGCGGCAGAGCTTCTCCCCTTCACCAATCCGCGCTGAGCAGCGGGGCGGGACTAACGGAAAGGACCAGGCTGGGTTGCGTCGCTACCCGGCCAACGCTGGGATGGTGAGATAGCGGTTCGGCTGGGCGTGAAGCGATTGTTCCCAAACTTCCCTGGCCTGCGGACGGCTCGAGCTCTAGTTTAGAATGCAGATTCCAGGGTGCAGCCAGATAGAGTTGATGACCTGTCGGACTGGAGCGGCCGGGAATCTGCATTTTCATCGGCCAGAGTCGGGGTGATTAGTGTGGATCTGCTGCGGCCCCGAGGGCGCACAGGTCTTCTCCACCGCTTTGTTCCCCCAGGCCGCGCCCCAGGCCCAGGACGTGCGCCCGCTATCTTTTTACCTGGGTTTCCCGGAGGAATCTGGGAAGAAACTCCCCTGCTCGCTCCTCTGCCCCACAACCGACGTCGGCGTGTCGGGTCCCGGGCACAGCCGAGACAGCCAGGATGGCGGGGAGGCCCAGTTGGGCTCGGGCCTCGGGGTACTGTCCCGCTGTCCACTGTCCGCACCTCCCACTAGCGGCCGACCCTCCCTGGAATTATCATTTGCGGGCTGCTCTCCCGTTTTAAAAAACAGCATCGCCAAAGGCTACAGGCTGCGCTTCCATTTTCTGGGAGATTCTTGGAGCCTTGGAGCCTTTCCCAAATTGGCCTCTTGAAACGAATATGGGTGGGGTTGGTAAAGTATGGTAGTGTTAACTGTGGGTCCCGTTCCCAGTATTTTAAGCTTTTGAAGCTCTATGAAAATGACTTAATGAAAATTGGATCCCAATTTTAAACACTACCTACCCGTCAAAATATTCCTAACTTGGGGTCAAAAGCTAGGGCAGCTTCTGTTTTTCTTAATGTACTTCTTTGATATGTGATTGAACATTTTAGGTGCTGAAAGGGGCCTAACCCTAAACACAATTTTCAGAACTGCGTGGATTATTTCCTAGGATTGACATTTAGTTCCAAATGTTTTAAAGACCTTTTCAACATGTTCATCTTGCTCTGTAGTAGGCTGTCCATCTGTTATCATTATTATTTTAAAATTCCTTTTAAATTGATTCCATTTTAATGGAGATGATTTTTGAGAAGGGGGCATTGTTTTACTTTGAAAGAATCTGATTTTGCCATTCCAGGAGTTATATAGCTTCAGAACAATATTGGAATGCTATATTTTTGTGTTTTATATTTTAAAAAGCCCTTTACGTGTATGCTCCCCATGTAATCCTTAGACATCTAGTTTATGTCTTCATGAATTGGGAAACCCAAAACATTAAACTGGTAGGGAAAATAGTGTTTGAAATAAATTCAGCCAGTGGGGCTGGGGATAGAGCTCAGTGGTAGAACACTTGTCTAGCATATGTCTATATGGTAGAACACTTGTCTAGCATATGTCTATATGGTAGAACACTTGTCTAGCATATGTCTATATGGTGGGTTCAATACCTGGTACCATCAAAAATAAAACAAATGAGCCAGGCACTCCAAATGGTAAAGTTGAATAAGTTCGACCAAAGTATAGGACTTCACTAAAATCTGAAAAGGCTGATAATTAAGGGTCTTTATTATCTAAAGACTTTTTCTTTAATTGCTTTGTAAAATTATAAAATGTTGGTTGATAAGACATATAAAATATGCACAAATAGAACTCAGATCAATGATGATTATAGTTAGCATTTATTGAGTACATAATATGAGCCATTTTATACACTTTTTAATGTATTAACTTATTTACTCTTCAAACCTTAAGATCAGACCTTTTTACAGGTAAGGACATTGAGCATAGAGAGGTGAATAACTTAAGTTCCCAAAACTAATTAGTAGTAGAGACTATTAAGGGCAATGTTTTTGTGGGAACCATAAGGTGTATGCATGCACAAATTTAATTTATGTAGGGAAGAAAATCATTGTGAATAAGATTACAGTCATATATTGGGTGAACAGGTAGATACTCATTGTAATAAAGGAGCTTGGTTTATTAACCTGGATTAGTGACAATTTTCAACTAATATTTCAGATTTGTAGCCTTGGTTGCTGTAGGACATCTGAGATGGCAATTCTTGATTGCTTGCTTTAGTTTCTATTGTCGTTCGGTTTTACAGAAGCAGATAATTAGACACGAAGCTCTGGAGCCAGTATTGTGGGTCATAGTGTCCCATCCCAGGTCTTTATACCTCTTCCTTGTACCCTCCCTTTGTTAGTAGAAGTGGGCTACCCTGGGAAGGGTGAGACTGCTGCTGAGCCCGTCCTGAAAAAGTTAGCTGGAGGACACCTGCTGATCACAATACCTGTCCCCAAGCAGGATAGCAAGTCCTTTCTTGAAGGAGGATTGGAGTGGCAACATCTCCATGTCTACCACAGTTTGTAATCTTTAATGTAAAGATGTTAGAATCATACAGTTTCATGATTTCTGTGAACCTTGAATTATTGTAGCCATGTGTGCTTCATCAGCTATTGAAATGTATGAAACATTTGAGAGAATTTTGCACATGTATATTAGTATTAGATTTGCTGGAGTTACATAAATGCTTATGGATTTCACTGGTTAGATTTTGTAATTGTAGTTTAAAATGTCTGAGAAAAATTTGATTAGTTGAATATGCAAATCATTAAATATTTTAAGGAGTATTTAGTCTGTTTAGCTTGTGAATTAGCAGAGCATAAGTGAAAGTGTCTATATTTTTATGGAAAGATTATGAGATTTATAGACAGACTAATAGCATTTATAAATTAAGATTAATGGCTTAAGAAATTCAATTTTGGCTGGGTGCAGTGGCACATGCCTATAATCCCAGTGGCTTGGGAGGCTGAGACAGGAGGATTGTGGGTTCAAAGTTAGCCTCAGCAAGAGTGAGGCACTAAGCAACTCAGTGAGCCCTGTCTCTAAATAAAATACAAAATAGAGCTGGGGATGCGGTTCAGTGGTCGGGTGTACTTGAGTCCAATCCCTAGTACTGCCCTCCCCCCCAAAAAAAAAGCAAGATAATTTTAACATTTTTGCTATTAATAAGAAAACTAATCATGTTTTTTCTTTTATGGATTTTCTTTTTTCACTCACAGGACTTTGACGATTTCCTCTATGTTCAATGATTCTTATAATTATCACTCAAACCCTGATTTCCCACTTGAATTTCAGTTCTTATTTTCAAGTTCAAATTTTCATGCTCTATTTTAATATATATCAATAGCTTAGATTCAGCATGTTAATTCTCTCCCAATACTTATGCTCAATGAACCAATGGCCTTGACTTTGTTAAATATTTTTTTTATTCTTTTAAAATCCCAAACTAGCAAACTTGACTCATCTGTATTCTGTACATACAGGCATTAAATTGTTACTTTTTGCTAATGTTTTTAATGTTCATCCTCCCCTCCACAATTCTTGCCTATTGCCTAGATCAGGCTGAAGAAAAGATTCCTTCTAAATGATCACCACAGTCTTATTATCTTCCTCTTTTCATTTAACCAGTTTTGCATATCAATCTTCCATATTTTAGAATCTTCAGTGACACAATAATTCTCCTATGTCATGTCAAAGAACTTATAAATTTTAGAGCCTAAGAAAATATAGAATATAATGTTTTAGTCAGCTTTGTATCACTATGATCAAAAGACCTGACAAGAACAACTTGAGGAAAAGTTTATTGTGGTTCAGAGTTTCAGAGGTTCAGTTCATGGTTAACTGACTTCATTGCTCTGTGCCCAAGGTGAGACAGAACATTCTGGTTGCCTGGCATGGTGGAGGAAAGCAGCTGAGGACAAGTCAGCCAGGAAACGAGAAAGAGAGAAAGAGAGAGAGAGCTCTGCTCACCAGGGACAAAATATAAACCCCTAAACAATGTCCCCTAATGACCTACTTCCTTTAGGCACACCCTTCTTGCCTGCAGTTACCACACAGTTAATCCATATCAGTGGATTAATCCACAATTAGGTTTTAACTCTCATAATCTAATCATTTCACCTCTGAACATTCTTGCATTCTCTCATACCTAAGCCATAACAATATAATTCAATCCCCCTTTTCCTTAGTTTTATGGAAGAATGAATCCCAGAGCTATCACATAACATTGATAATTGGTGACAATTCTGGAGTTGATCTTAAGGTGTATATAGACCATGTCTTTGAATTCCTTTTTATCTCCATTGTACTGGGTGTTAAATTGTTCATTAAGTAGAACATCTAATATTTATTGATAAGTAAATTAAGCCATCTCTG